CCCTCCGGGAGGAAGGCCTGCCTGAGACCCACCCCCAACCTCCCCTGACGCAGTTTCAGGCCAGGCCCTCTTGTCCTGGGAGAAGACCCTGACCCCACCTGACTGCATCCTACCTGCAGGGAGTTGCAGAGAGTGATGAGCTCCCCCTGAGCCTCCTTTTCTCCAGCTGAACCCCCCCACTCCCTCATCCTCTTCTCATAGGACTTTCTCTCTAGTGCCTTCACCAGCCTCGTTGCTCTCTCAAAATGACATGAAGAGTATGTCTTGATGGAATGGCACGGAAACCACCTCTGTCTACACACGTTGTTGGACACTCAAGAACCCAACTTTAGCTCCCAACTTCAGCTCTTGTCTTTTAAGAGTGGTGGCACTAGGAGGAGCAGATTTGTGACGAATCCTAGTGAGACCCTGGCACAGGTTGCCCAGAGAGGTGGTGGAGGCTCCATCCCTGGAGACATTCAAGGTCAGACTTGATGGGGCTCTGAGCAACCCAATCTAGTTGAAGATGTCCCTTCTCACTGCAGGGGGGTTGACTAGATGATCTTTAAATGTTCCTTCCAACCCAAAACGTTCTGATTCTATGATGACTGTGGTGAATACTGATGGCAGCTGTGCAAATCCGAGGTACCGTATGGACACCACATGGGTTGGGGATACCCAGTCCCCTGAGGTGTCTTTTTCTGGGGTATAATTTGCTCTGTGTTAAGGGCCGTGAAGCTCAATGTCACTCCACCTTCACTGTTGGGAAGGATTTCTGAGCCTGCTGAGTGAAGGATGACTTTCCCAACTGGACTTAACACCCCTCTTGTTTTCTCACCTCCTTAGCTTTGTGGAGGGTGTAACTCTGCTCTAATAAAATATAATTTTCCTTTTTCTCCTCCCTCACATTTTACCCGTAAGACAAACTGCGGCGGGAGGGTAAGTATGGTTCTTGGCACTGTCATCTGCAGTCGTTGTCGTGTCTTCCACCGGATCACTTGTTTCTGTTCACCATCGCGGCATTTGCTTTTACTTTGCACCACCATCGCTGCTGCTTCACAAACATGCTGAGAGCATCATCCCCTTTGCCGCAGAGCTTGACCCTCATGGTGAAGTTGTGACACCTTCCCGGAGCTGGAAAGTCCCCAACCTGTGAATGTGGTTAAAGCTGTAAGTGCTTCTCAGTAATGACCTTAGCTTGAAGGTTAAATCTCTTTATCTGGGAGACAAAAACAATCCCTCCTGCCACTCTCTGAGGGCTGCCAAAATGCAGTAGTGTTTGGTAGAGCTTTAACCCCCCCCAAAAAAAATCCAGATGAAGTCAGCCATGGTGTGCTGGGTAGTGAGGGAAGCAGGCTCAGAAAGGATTTGTTTGGGGATAATTAAAATGTAGGTCACGCTGTGGTCAGCTACGGCAGAGTCCCTGCCTGTCAGTGAAGCTTGGTTTTCCCGAGACAGGAGGGCTTTGCCTTCACCCAGCAATAGAAACCAGAGTGATAATATTTCCTTAAAGGTGCCCTTCGACCCCTCGTCAGCCAAGTGGACAAAGTTTTGCATTCCGTCAGCTGTGAGAATTGGGCAAATCGTGAGTATTTATCAACCAGGAGCGACCTGCACAAACAAGCAATAGTACAAGAGGTCACGCTGGCAAAGTGTTTTTGTGGGTCACGAGGGAAGGGTCACGGAGAGCATCCAGAAAGCTGTCCTGTATCTAATGGTTAACTCCTTCAGAAGTCTTCCTGATTGCATTTGGGGCAGGGCAGACCAATGTGGCTGAAAAGCAGGGTTTTTAGAGACCTTTGCAAAGAGTCGGTTGTTTTGAGGCTCAAGGAAGGTTAGAAATGTCCCTAAAATTAAGCTGGTAATAGATGATGAAGAGGAAAGTAGCATTCCAAGTATCTCACCAAGGACTGGAAGGAGTCTTGGGGTCCATTTGCGATCTTGGTGCCATAACCCCACTCATAAATCGAGCTCACTCACCTGAGCACTAAGCTGCTCTATCCCGGTGGAAGATTCCTCTGGGAATTCTCTGCTCCTTTATTTCAAAGCCACCTTCTCCTAACATCCAGTCGACATGATTTCACAGCCAATTTCTACCCTTTGGATTCATGGCAACTTTGTTCCTGAGCACCTCTGAAGAGGTGTTTGGAGTTTTTTTTCTCTTTACTGGCACATAAAGGAAGACTGTAGTATCTTTTCTCAGTTACCACTGTCAAGTCAATCCTCACCTGGGGCTAATCAGAACGTTATTCTCCGGTGTTGGCCATGAAGCCAGAAAGTAAGAAGTCCCTGAGGGCTTTCAGCATCCTGATACAGGACACAGTTGCCACCTACTGGCTGCCTTTCAGGAAGCCTGAGCTGTTGGGAGGTTTTGCTGATGGCAAACACGTTATCATCTCACTGCACTCAAGCCCTTTCCATCGAGACTGAGGGATACTGGGCTTGATGGGAGAAACTCGACCTGGGGCTTGTGTCTCCGAGTGTCCTTTTCCACTTCTCTCACCAGCAGTGGCAGTTATTTTGCTCCTTCAGAAATGAGGAACAGCTCACATTTGTTTTATTCGTCAGTCAGTTTTCTTTGCCTGTGCCTCTTCGCTACTTCATGTCCAAAGTTTATGGCTGGGTTTAGGCCGTGTATATAAAAACTCATAAGGATTATTTTTACATAGATTTTGGATTTTTTTTCCCCTGGAAAGAATATATGCAACAGTGCGGGCATGTTCACAACTGGTCCCACCAGGGAATGAAAGTGAGATTGATCTTGCAACTTTAGTTGCCAAAAGATAAACTAGCGCAGGCAGCTTGGCTCCTTTGAAGTTGTGGAATGAAAGCAGCCCTCATCTCGTGCCCCTTGATTAGCCTGAGGTGGAGCCCTGTTGACTCACTTGCTCTGGACACCAACTTTTAGACAGATGAAGTGGGGGAAGCAAATCCTTATGCTTGGCCTTGACCTTGGGATGTGACCAAGCCTCCTAACCTTGGAGCTGCACCTGAGCAAGATGCCAAAAGTCGTGAGTGCCTTTGGTGAGAGGCTTGAGAGAAACAGCTACTGGAAGGGCAGAAATGAAAGAGCAAGACACCACAAAGAGGTTTTCTGCCTAAAGCCCAGGACAGCTTTGCTCATTCGAGTGCCACACAGAGCATAGGATGGACCAAAGGCCATTTTCCAGAATTTCAGAAACAGTTGAGGAGTATGTAAGGACTTTGCGGGCCATGTGATGTGCACAGGATGAGGTTTAAAGTGCAGCATGGAGAGTTTTGGTTAGGCAGAAATGGTGGAGAAAACATATTGCAGAGGGAGGCTTAGCAGCTCTGTTGTGGATTTGTAAAAACAGGTTAGACAGAGATCCAGCTGGTCCTGCTTTGACACACGGCAATGGTCTTCAGGCTTCTTTCATCTCTAGCTTCTCATAACTTGTGCAGTGCAACAGGTATGTATGGATATGTGCTGGCTCTGAAGATGTTTTTGAAAATGTTAGCTTGACTTGAAACTCTGAATCTTAACTGAGGAGCATCTAGAATATGAATGAAGGCTTGATTCCATGCTGTGCATGAGCAGGGCTGAGCATGAACTGATCTAACATAGTCTGGGACTTTTGCTCCAATGTTGCTCCAGGCTCCACCCTGCAAGCATCTTTGACTTGAACATCATCTTTCATCCAGCTTGACAAAACCCTTTATTTTTCTGGCCTCCACACCCCATCCAAGCTGCCAAAACCTCTCAGCTTCCTTCTACTGTCCCCATAAACCTTCATGTGCTTCTCCTCCAGACATACACTGGTTCAATACTGGTGGCCGTAAACCCCTACCAGCTCCTACCCATCTACTCACCAGAGCAGATACGCCTGTACACCAACAAAAAGATTGGAGAGATGCCACCACACATCTTCGCAATTGCTGACAACTGCTACTTCAACATGCAGCGCAACAACAAGGACCAGTGCTGCATCATAAGGTGAGTGGGTGAGTTTCCACGTGGGCTGTATCCTGAAGAAAGATTGCTGAGCACCTGCAATGTGTTTGAATAGAATCAGAAATTTGAATGACCTATTAGATCTTTCATCCACATGTTCCCAGTGCAGAGGTGATGTCTGTTTGCTGTCACTGTTCTCGGTAAAGATGCTTTATCAATCCTTTGCTATTTAACATCCAACCCAATAGATCTCATATTCATCTTTAACCCTTTTTAAAATACTTCAATACTGCTGCAGGCATCAAAGATGCAAAGATCTATGCATTCTGCACAAGGGTGAGCCAGGAACAAGCTTGATGGCTGGACCTCTGGTTGTTCACGCCGCTCAGCTAGTGTCTCTCTGTGTGGCTCTGCTCTAGAACGATGAACCTTGGGCACCAAGAAATGCCTGGTCACAGTTACACGTATAATTCTCTGCTATCTGTCCCAAATGGTGGTGTGAACCAGATTTGGTTCCCTCAGCCCTCCAACACCATCTTACCAAGTTCTGAGCCCTCAGACAATCTTGGTGCTTTGAGAGCACCACCTCTCTCCAAGGCACGCCTACCCTTTGTTTTGTTGCATAGAAAGTTAATTCTGGAGCATCCCATGCACAGTATTTCAAATAAGTGGGACTGAAAAGGTCATGCAGAAAAAAAGAGCATCGTATGAGGTCCAGAGAAGAGTCAAGGCTTGGTGTGATGCAGTGCGCCAGTGGGCAGCCAACCCTGAGACAATTTGCCCAAGGCTGGTGGCCAAACACCAAGATCATTTGAAACACTTTTGTTGGCCACCCCCCATATCAGACAGGCCATAGACTCACCCCGAGGGATTTCTGCCCAACCCTTCCTCTTGTGCCATCGCAAGATAATGGAAATTATCTTTCAGTGGAGAGAAATCTTTGAGGAGTAAGTCTTTCTTCCTACTCCATAATCTTCTCCTCTCCTACCTGCCCCGTGGTAGGACAAACCTAGGGGACCTGTGAAAGCACCTGCCACTGGAAGGCACTGTTCTACCTTCTAGTGCATTTTGGCAGCTCAGGATTGGTGATGAAGATGTCCCATGGGACCAGTTGGCCCCTGGAGCAGAGGCTCAAGGTCTGGTGATCATACGTGGAAAAGCACTGTCTGAAAGTTCTTCTTGACCCTCTTAGCACTGATTGAACGATGGTGTTCGCTGGAGACACCTAAACCCAAGCAACAGCTTGGGCCAAATGGACTGGAAAGCAAATCTGGATCTTGGCTGGGAGCTATTGGGTACTGAGTCCTACCATCTGTCCTACAAACAGTCCTTGGGATGGTGCAGACCCATCCATAGTGGCCTCATCTTACCTGTGCCAACAGAAGAGGCGTTGAGGGAGAGATGTTGGGAGGGAAACAGCCAGGATTTCGCTGACCTCAATTCATGTTGTCTTTGCAGTGGAGAATCCGGAGCAGGGAAAACAGAAAGCACAAAACTGATTCTGCAGTTCTTGGCGGCGATCAGCGGTCAGCACTCCTGGATTGAGCAACAGGTCCTGGAGGCCAATCCTATATTGGAAGGTGAGGCCTCAGATAACCGAGGCATTTTGTTTAGCTGGGAAAAATAAATCAGATTCAGGAAACACAAAGCAGGGCTAAATGTAAGTCACGTGCGTCGCATTTTGAATTTCAATAAGTGAAAAACTAAAAAAAATATTAAGAGCAATGATGTAAACATTTGTTAAATAGCATGTTTTCTTTCTTTCCATCCAAATTTATTTTTCTCAAGACTAATATTCTCTGATTCTCCATCAGTATTTTTGACAACTATTGCTGAAAGTGAAACATTTCAGCTACCCTGATTTTTTTCAACTGTTTTATTCACTTAAAATAGAAAAAAATCGTGGGTTTTCCACTTCGATCAATACTTTTTTCTAAAAAAAAAATAAATCAATGCTTTCTTTCCTGAAACAGAAACATGAATTTTACCTAATTTTCTGTGTAGTCTGGGATTTCAAAAACTCTAGTCGACAAATACGAAAAGATTTTTGAAAAACCTCACCACCTCTTCCAGTACTGGCATTATAACTGTAAGCAAAACACCAATATTGTCTAAATGCTGCATTCAGCTAACTAATTTTTTTTTGTTTATCTGACCATAACTGCAAACATTCTATCCCTATTCTTCACTTTTTTTTAACATGAAATTAATTTGACCAGAGCTTCACAGACACGTTGTGCTGGTGATACCCAATAGCAAACCCCACCTTGTCCTTCCAAAACCAGCAACCTCAGCCGGGTTGGCTTAGTCCCTCAAGGACGAGCATTTCCCTTTCCCTCTCAGTCACCAAATCACTCACCAGCAGCTCTGTCATTTCCCACATAGCGTCACCTCGCACGCAGGAGCATCCTCCTGCCACTCTTGCTCAACTCTCTTGTATTTCATCGACTGCAGCCAAAATCCTTCTTCCTGGATAAGGTCACCCCATTCCCATGCCTCCTTCTCTGTCCTCCTCTCTGCATTCCCAAGGACAGTCATCTGCAGTATCTCCTGTTTCATGGAATCACAGGATGGTTTGGGTTGGAAGGAACCTTAAAGCTCATCCAGTTCCAACGTCTTGCCCTGGGCAGGGACACCTCTCGCCAGAGCAGATTGCTCCAGATCCAGAATGGCCTTGGACACTTCCACAGCTTCTCTGGGAAACCTGTGCCAGGACCTCACCACCCTTAGAGAAAAGAATTTCTTGCTTAGATCTATTCTAAATCTCCCATCTTTCAGTTTGAAACCATCACCCCTCATCCTATCCCTACAACCCCTGACCAAGAGTCCCTCCCCAGCTCTCCTGTAGCCTCTTCAGGCACTTGAAACATCTCCCCAGATCCCTCTCTTCTCCAGGCTGAACAGCCCCGACTCCCTCAGCCTGTCCTCATCAGGGAGGTCTCCCCATACTGAGATGACATTCAGCCAGCCAAACTTAAAGGATAGACTTGGGGTCTGTTTTTACCCACTCAGCCTCCATGTTTTGAATATTTGGGGGGTTTTTTGCCCTTGAGACCAGACCCACGATCCTCCCTGCACCAGATCTTCTCCAACACACCACAATTCTTCCCCATAGCTTTCGGGAATGCAAAGACCATCCGCAACGACAACTCCAGCCGATTTGGGAAATACATCGACATCCACTTCAACAAAAGGGGAGCCATCGAGGGGGCAAAGATTGAGCAGTACCTGCTGGAAAAGTCCCGGGTCTGCAGGCAGGTAAGGTGATAAATCTGCGAGGCGTGGGAGCTGTCGCTCAGTCGGTTGACCTTTCTTTGCGGTGCCATTCTCCTCACAGGAGCTGATGCTCGCTTTTCTACTGCAGGCCCCGGATGAGAGGAATTACCACGTGTTTTACTGCATGCTCAGGGGAATGACGATGGAGCAGAAGAAGAAGCTGGGTCTCGGGAAAGCCACGGACTACAACTACCTTGCCATGGTGAGAGCGCAACAAAGCAGAGGTTTGGTGGCATGATGTGGTGAGAGTTTCTTAGCCAGGAAGAGGGAGGTTACAGGTTAGGAGGTGGTCTGCTAGAGAGCAACTCCATGGAAAAGGACCTTGGAGTGGACCATGGGACAGCAATGTGCCCTTGTGGACAAGAAGGCCAATGGGATCCTGAGGTGCATTAAGAAGAGTGTGTCCAGCAGATCAAAGGAGGTTGTCCTCTCCTTCTACTCTGCCCTGGTGAGACCTCACCTAGAGTATTGCATCCAGTTCTGGGCTCTTCAGTTCAAAAGGGACAGAGGTTTACTTGAGAGAGCCCTATGGAGGACTACAAGCATGATTAGGGATGGGAACATCAGCCCTACGAGGAAAGGCTGAGAGACCTGGGGCTTTTTAGTCTGGAGAGGAGAAGACTGAGACGGAGTCTAATTAATGTGTATAAATATATGAGGGCTTGGTGTCAAGAAGGAAGGGACAACCCCTTTTCACTTGTGCCCAGTGATAGGACAAGGGACAATGGATGCAAGCTAGAGCACAGGAAGTCCCACCTTAACGTGAGGAAGAACTTTTTCCCTGTGAGGGTGCCAGATTCCTGGCACAGGCCGCCCAGAGATGTTATAGAGCCTCCTTCTCTGGAGACTTTCAAGACCTGTCTGGATGTGTTCCTGGGTGACCTGCCCTAGATTCTTTGGTTCTGCTCTGGCAGGGGGTTAGACCTGATGATCTCCAGAGGTCTCCTCCAACCCCTAACATTCTCCAATTCTGTGATTCTGTGATTGATTCTGTGATTCTGTGATTGGTTCTGTGAAGTGGCTTCTTCCACAGCCCAAGAGCTGCTTTGCTGGCTATGACTTTCCTGAGACTTAGTCACAGGGTTTGTACGACTTCTTTGTCCCACCACCACAAATCTCATGGTCTTACTGCCAACCCTTAACCCCTGTGTATAGAACAGGTTACTTCCACTCTTCCCTGTGGATCAGGATATGTTTGGATAGTTTTAGTGTTTGATGCCCAGGCCCCTTGTCTGGAAACAACCAGAGTGTTAGATAAAACCTGATGCTCTTGCAGCAGTGGTGGACAAGGAAGCATGCAGGGCTGGATGAAGCAGATGGTGCTGAGCTGTCTCTGCTACTACCTACTCCAAATAGAATCAGAAAATCATTTAGGTTGGAAAATTCCTTTAGGATCATCGAGTCCAGTTGTTAACCCAGCACTGCCAGGTCAACCACTGATCTGTGTCCCTGAGCACCACATCTACCTGGCTTTTAAATCCCTCCAAAGATGGGGACTCCACTACTAGGCAGCCTGTCCCAGGGCTTGACAATCATTTTGAGGAAGAAATTTTTCATAATTTTCAATCTAAACCTCCCCTGGTGCAACCTGAGGCTGTTTCCTTTTGTCCTATTGCTTGTTACTTGGGACAAGAGATCAACCCCACCTTACTTCAGCCTCCTGTCAGGGAGCTGTGGAGAGTGAGGTCTCCCCTCAGCCTCCTCTTCTCCAGCTGGACAACCCCAGCTCCCTCAGCTGCTCCTCAGCACACTTGTTCTCCAGACCCTTCTCCAGCTCTGTTGCCCTTCTCTGGACACACTCCAGCCCCTCAAGGTCCTTCTTGTCAGGAAGGGCCCAGAACTGAGCACAGGATTCGAGGTGCAGCCTCGCTACAGTTGAGTCCAGTGGGACAATCCCTGCCCTGCTCCTGCTGGCCACACTATTGCAGATATAGGCCAGGTTGCTCTTGGCCTTCTTGACACACTAGTGCTGCAATCCAGAGGAGCTGGTAGAAGCTGGTGTAATTAAGGCAGGCTCATCATCAGCAAGGCTGTGACCCAGCTTTTTTCACCAAAAAACAAAGCTGGATCCACAGGTTGAACACTATGATTCTACGGTTCTGTGATTCTACTCCCGTCCATACCCAATGCTCTCAGTTTTACCCCATGCGCTGTGTGACTTCTTTGCCTCCCCAGGGCAACTGCACCACCTGTGACGGCAGAGATGACAGCAAGGAGTATGCCAACATCCGCTCAGCCATGAAGGTCCTGATGTTCACCGACACAGAGAACTGGGAGATCTCCAAGCTGCTGGCTGCCATCCTGCACATGGGCAACCTGCAGTATGAAGGTAAAAGGACAAAACACGGGGACTTGGTCCAGCTTACTCCTTATTCTTCATGGTGGGAAGCAGCTGAGCTTAGGGATGGAGGGCTATACCCAAACCATCTGCCACGGTGCCAGGGACTCAGGTGGTTATGATTGCATGTAAGGACAAGAAAAGCGGAATAAGTCCACTCTGCAGGGCTGCCAGATTCCAGTACGCTCAGTGGCATCCACCTCTCCTGAGTTAGGGAGGTTGAATACACCCAAAAGCCACTCAGTAGGCTCAGGTTTTGCAAGGAGAGACTCATAGAGTGTTTGGCAACTGCCTGAGGGATTGGATGTGCCTTTGCAAAAGTACTGAACCTCCCTGCTGTCAGAAATGACACAGTGATTTAAATCCTCTGTGGAGGATCCTAGTTTTTACCTATTCTAGTTTTTACCCTATCAGGGTGGCTGGCAGAGCAGAGCAGAGCACAGCAGGACACCTGCAGCCACAGGAACTTTTCTCTCCCTTCTGACACCCAGATTTTGCCTGGCCGTCACTCTGAGGCAGTGGAAAAATACCCTTTCCCTCACCCCCACCCACCTTTTCTGCAGAGCCACGTCCCTCTCTGACAGCTTTCCCTCTGCCTTTGTTTCCCCCAGCTCGGACCTACGACAACCTGGATGCCTGCGAGGTCGTTCAGTCGGCGTCACTGATCACCGAAGCGGCGTTGCTGGAGGTCTGTGGCTCTGATGTGCTTCTGTCCCCCTTCAGGCTTGTTCTCATGTTCCTGGTATCACAGCAAAGCTTCATCGGAGCCAGGTTCTCCCGGCACCACCAGCTCTAGGAGGCTGGAGAAGCTCCGGCTAGCCATACTTGGCACTGGCAACACAAAGGTGGACCCATCTGGGCTGGGTATCTGAGCTCCCCTTCAGCATTAGTGGAGGCAGACACTTTGGTGACACGTCATCTTAAAAAGGGCACCAGTCCCTAAAATAAAGTGTTTCCCTCATTGCTATAAAAAGAGTTCATTACGGTAGCCGAGACAGAGATCTTAGAATCACAGAATGATCAAGGTTGGAAAAGACCTCTAAGATCATCAGGTCCAACCGTCAACCCAACACCGTCATGGCCACTAAACCATGTCCCCAGGTGCCATGTCTACACATCTTGAACATCTCCTGGGATGGCGACTCCACTCCTGCCCTGGGCAGCCTGTTCCAATGTCTCTACCAATTTTTCAGTAAAAAAAATTCTCCTAATATCCAATCTAAACCTCCCCTGGTGCAACTTGAGCTCATTTCCTCTCATCCTCTCACCAGCAACTTGGGATAAGACACCAAACACCCACCTCACTATAACCTCCTCTCAGGTAGTTGTAGAGAGCGATGAGGTCTCCTCTCAGCCTCCTCTTCTCCAGATTAAACAATCCCAGCTCCCCTCAGCTGCTACTCATCAGACTTCTAAGACTCATAAGATGCCACTTACACTGTGCATAACTGAAGTGAGGTGAGATGACCCTCACTCAAACCACCCACACAGTGGCTGGAGCATTCTTCAGTGGCCTCCCCAGCAGGTGACAGAGCTCCCTCGGGGACAATATCTCATCTCCATAGACACTGCTGGTTCCAGAGTGTGATCCACAGCTCTCTGCAAGCTGTTTTCGTGTCCTTCACGGGGTGGACATTTCCCTGGCTTGATCTCAGGAGATGAAAAGAGGTCAAGGAGACACAAAGCTACATTTGTGTTGGTAGGATACAGCTTTGTGAGCTTTGCTTTTTCATCTTCTCTCCACACGCCTCGTTAACATCTCACACTAAGTCACAAGCACTTTCCGTAGTAAAACACCATATAAAAGCGTTAATTACTCTTTCTGTAAAGGCCTGTGATATGACTTATTTGCCCCATACAGCTAAGGAAAGTCACCTCCAGCCAAAGGGGGGTTGCACTGTTCTTCTCTGGTCATGTATGTTCAGGCCAGTAGACCAGGTTACTGCAAGGAAATCTTGTGTTATAAAGAGTCTCCTCCTCTGGAGACATTCAAAACCCACCTGGATATGTTCCTGCGTGGCAGAGGAGTTGCACTAAAAGATCTTTCGAGGTCCCTCTCAAGCCCTAACATTCTGTTATTCTGTGTGATTCTGTGTTTGGTGGTGCCTTTGCCAGGTTGACCCTCAGGACGTGATGAACTGCCTTACCAGCCGAACTATAATCACCAGGGGTGAGACTGTCTCCACCCCTCTCAGCATGGAACAAGCGCTGGATGTGAGGGACGCTTTCGTAAAGGTAAGTCTTTGGGCATTCCCTCCTGCTCCTGTTGATAAGCTTGAAGAAATCTGCCACTTTTGAGACCCAAGCATCCACCACACAGGAAAAGTGTCTCACTTGGTGGCCTTGTGGGCTCAGGTCAGCAGATGGGATGCACAAAACGTTGAGAATGGAAGGAATCTAGATAGCCTGGCCTTCTGAGGCTTTGCAGTCTGGGCTTGAGCCTGTCTATGCTGAAACATGACCTATGGAAGAAACCAGAATTCTGAAATGACTTCACCTCAGCTTCAGGAAAACATCCCAGCTGAAGCCCCAGGGTTAGCTCCTCAGCTGCTAGAAATCAGAGCAGCTCTACCAACACCTGTAACACCCACACCTGAATTTCAGGATTTAGGCACGTCTGCAGCAGTAAATAAAGCCAAACATCACAGGAACGGGGATAAAACAGTTCAGCAGCCACCAGAGCCCTCAGAGCAACCCCTGAGGCTTTTGGGGTGATGAAGGTTGATGAGGTGGGTGTGCAGCTCTGCTGTGCTGTTTGCAGCCCCAGGTAAGGTTGCAAACCAAGCATGGGTGGTGTATTTTGGCCAGCTTGGGCCCTCCACTCTATGGGAAACCAGTAGATCAAGCTAGCTGGTTGGGTATGTAACTAGTCAGGACATCGTGACAGTGACCTCTCTAGTGATGATGGGCCTCTGAGTCAGGCTGCGCTGTTGGTAGCACTGCTGTAGCTGATACAAAAGAAAGGAATAGCACTGTAAAATATGGAGTTCTGGAATTACTAAAGCAGCAAGAGCTGCTTCATTAAATCAGCAGATTGTTCAGCTGGTGCGGCAACACTGAAATCAGCACCCTGTCCAGGGTGAGATGTCCTTGGCTTGTCTAGCATGATTCTGCTGATCTGCAGAGAGAGATGGTTAGAAACCAAGACATATTTTTAAATATATATATATATATATGTAAAGTATCTATCACCATATTGATAAACATTCTTTGG